AACTGCAGCCGCACTGCATCTGTCCGGATTATGCAAAGGGCGATCGCTGCGAATACTCGGAGACCTGCAAACTGATTCCGTGCAAGAACAATGGACGCTGCTTGCGCAGTGGTCGCTGCTCCTGTCCCAATGGCTGGGGCGGCTTCTACTGTGAAATTGGTGAGTAGAATCTGCGCTTGAGTTCAATGGCCTGCAAATTGAAAGTTTTGGATGCGCTGCGAAAGCGGTATCTGTTAATTGCCAGCTAGTGGCTTCTGGTGGGGGGGGCTTCGAGGGCAATTCGTCATTGAAATTAGTCAAGCGCCAGATGTTTAGTTAGTGCTTAATGTCCGTGACAGCCATACAAATAAAACAATATATATTAAAAGCAACAACAGTAGCTGGGCAACAATGAAAGGCACAAATCATTTCACTTGAAAATCTGCAAAACGAGTTCCATAAATCTCCGGAGCCAAGTTGAAGTTCAATGTGTCAGCGAAGTAAAAGTTGCGTTTGTTTTGTTTTTGTTTTTTTTTTATATATAGCAGAAATACAGTAGCCGAGTAAAGATCTTAAAGCGTCAGAAAACTGATTTTATTTTATTTTATCTGCTGTTCTCGACTGAACGTCCAAACAAGTTTTCATCTCGAATGACAAAAGCAAATGACAAAAAAAAAAAAAAATAAATAAATAAAACAATCCAACACAACAATATTTTAATATAATTAGAGATCTACACGAGCGGGAAACAAAGCCATTTGTTAATGGCTCAACGAATCTTACGGTTCGGTGCACATCGAGCTCTGAAAGTTGAACTGGCAAAAAAAAAAAGTGCAAAAACCAAACAAAAAACCGCCAAAATTAAGCTACTATACAAATATATATATACATATATATATGCGTAATTTGCATGAGTTGAATGTGCTAAAATAATAGAATAGAAATATTAGAAATTTTACAGCTTGCTGCATTTCCACAGAAACTGGAAAGAGGGGAAAATATTTTGAATATTTTTCAAATATTTTCAACGATCTATTTTAGATATCTAGATAACAGCATTTTAAATATTTACGATACACAAAGTGCCTAAATTATATTCTTTAATTTGTTTATTATAAACGTAAAAAACATTTCCACCAAAGAGTTTGAAAAAAGAAGGGTGGAATTTACTCAAACATTTCCCAATATTAAATAAAGCATTCACAAATTAAAACGAGATCAGTTTCAAGCTCAACTTTGAGTCCTATGTTCAGTCCAGGAGTTTTTGATCTGAAAGCGTTTTATGTTTTTGTTAGATTTGAGACCAGGCCAGTATTATACAATTGACAGTTGGGGCATACGATCAGCCGGCTGGCAGCCTTTCACTTATTAGCAAAGCGAATTAACATGCCACTAATAACAATAAGCCATAAACAAGCTGGTGAAAACACGAAACAACAAGTGCAATCAAGTTGAGTGGAGGCAGCCAAACGAAAGAAAACAAAACGCAGACTCAAATAAGAATACAAACCGAAAACGTGGTACGAGCACAGAGAAACAAGATGTTGTCGACAGATTAGAGAGATGCAACCAAAGAAGCCCCAAACGAGATCAGGGACTCGCAGTCGTTCCAACAGCAAATGGCATAATGAGCTGGCGGATCTTTGATGGGGATAATAACAAGAAGAGAGCACTGCTGACAGTTGAAATACCCTGTGCAGCGCACAAAATATATGAGGTATTCATCGTTGACCAAAAGCTGCATTAAGTAAGCTTTGGCAAAAATATTCTATTCGAACTGTTCTATTGTAGACTTGGGAAATCAGTGTTGGCAAATGCACTCCTTTCGTAATTTCCAACACATTTAATTTTTCGCATTTCGTTAAGAAAAATACCAAGTTAACGGCAAAAATCAGAGAACAAAATTTTAAAAGTGTTTACAAATGTACGCAAACGAAAAATATAAGGAGAGTATTTACTTGTTTTTGGACCTATCGAAATTCTAATCTTAGACTGTTCTTGTCATGCGTCTATGCTCTAGTCGAGCGTCGGAGCTAGCTACTTGGACAAAAATGTTGGTAAAGTGATTTTTTGGTAGCAGTCAAGAAGTCTAGATATGGGTCACATATGAATGGAGTTATAGTAAATTAGATTCTCAAGATTTAATTAAAATTTCCAGCCTAGCTACCTTAAGTGGATTTTGAAGGACTTCTTTATGGTGTTTCAAACTTTGTGCCAAAACCAAAATACCCTCTACTGGTTTATATTTATGATCATCAGTCTACGCTTAATAATGAAGTTGATTGCATTGCCGCACGCTGTTGCCGATGCTGTAATTTAATTATGCACTTGCATCACACACACACAAGCGTACACGCACACCAGCAAAGCTTGTACATGCAATATGTTTAATGCATTTTACTTAACTTGCCCCGCTTCCTCCCCGTCTCTGTTGCAGCGCTGAGCAAGCCAACAACACCAAGCTTCCGCGGCAACAGCTACCTGATCTTGCCGCCCCCTCGCATTCCCATGAAAGACAAGCGCCGCGGCCCTTCGCTCTATGCGCGTCCGCGCGAAACCATACAAATCTCACTGAACTTCTCCACCATCGAACCGGACGGCCTACTGCTCTGGAGCGAGCACAATCCGGTGAAATTTCTGGGCCTGGGACTGGAGAATGGGCACCTGAAGCTGGCCAACAATCTGCTGGGCAGCAACAATGACACCGTTCAGGCACCCGCCAGCGGCTTCGTAGCCGATGGCGCCTGGCACGGCATTAGTGTGCTCCTGGATCGCACACGCCTCGAGCTGCAGCTGGATGGCGCGGTGATATTCACAGAGCGACTGCCCGAGCTCAGCCGACGAATGACAACAACCCCAACGACATCGTTTCAGCGTCGTGGTAGCAAGGAGCCAACGATTAGCTACGAGGATATTTTCTATTTAGGTAAGTGTGGACACACTGTGCGTACATCAGCTTTAGATTGGCGCCAAGCGAAGACAACCGACGCTGTGACGTCACAGGGCTAACATATTTTACAATGCTTTAACTACAAATGCATTTATCGCATGTGTGTGAGTCATCAATTTAATTAAGCGTGTGCAGACTTACCGTCTCAGTAATTAGTACATGTTGCTGCTAGTTTTACGTTTTCGTCTGTCTTTGAATTCCCTCACTTGACTCGCAACGCGCGCTTTAAGAAACCTCAGCTTAGTTGATTACTCGTATGGAACTGTAACGCCGGCCTGCGGTGACGACAGTGCAGATGTGCAATAGAAAGGCAGATACAATAAGACTGTATGCTAGAGCAGGATAGCTGCGAACTTTCGTAACTGCATGGGGGAGAACGCGAGTGCTGGTTTACACTATGTGCGATAGAATTGTGCACATTGCAATAACTTGACACTGCAAACGCTTACAAATGATGAGTTCATGTCACTACCAAGAACATGTTGTGGTAAATTACCAAACACACACAATCACAATACACCACCGCGTAGAGAGCGCTTTAAACAATTACTAAGCCTGACTTAATAGGGATGTGCAATGGCTCAAAACAATGTGTTATCGTTAAGCACATGTATCGATAAGAAAAAACATCGCTGTTGTACTCAGTTCATCTGCCAAGCTGTGCTTTAATAATTATGTTAATGGACAGTATGCTGTTAAAAATTGTATTGAATAACTAACAGAGCTCTGTTGACGCACAGCTGAGCTCAATACTCGCACAGAGTTGGCAGCGCTGCGCATCGCCCGGTTTGTTTGAACACAAACTTAACTTGTTTTTTATGTGATCTACAGGTGGTTTTCCCAATCAGGACTCGGTGAGCATGCGGACGCAAGGCCGCTTCTTTGAGCCATTTAAAGGCTGCCTGCAGGATATTCAATTCGGAGCGGAACCAAAAGCCGTAATAAACGATTTCTCAACGTACCAAGGCGAAAATATTGGCTCTTGTGATTTGCACGGTGATGAGCCGATTATTTTATGAATCGACACATGAATCAAAAATACAAAAAGAATAAATAACAAACAACAAATATGAAGAGAACAAATTGTGTAACCTAATATTCGTATATTATTATTGTGAATTACAATTAAATAATTGTGGATGAAATTTCAAGTAAAACTGATAACAAGAAACCAACCCCAAAAAATTTAGAACTAAGCTAAGTGTTAAGGGAGTTTATATTTGCGAGAAAAAAAAAACCTCCTTAATCAATTTTAAAATATATACAGATGGGGGATGGCTGCACGGAGGAAACGAAATGGAACATAATTTTGTAAATTTTTTAAAAAAACAACTAACAAAAAAAGGAGACAAGAACAAGTTTAGATTAAAAATGAAAATCATTCAATGAAATGATTGTATCAATGTGGTTTATCAATAAATCGAAACAAAAACAAATAATTAACTCTTGAACAAAATTGTAGTTTAGGTTCGAAATCTAGCAAAATACCACATACTTCTCTTACATACATAAGTGATATTTATTGTGGATTAATGATAAACATTCAATGCATATGACAAAAACAAACACAAACTCCTTGATTAAAAACATTCTAACTAATATGTATATTGTTTTGTTGAGCCAACCTTTGTTATGCAAGTGTTATGTAGTATCTCTAAAGCCTTATGTGTTCTGTATCAAATCGTCTCTAAACTCTAAACTCTAAACTGCCCTTATAACAATTTCTGCCATTTTGATTTATCGTCTCTAGTTAGGCTAACTATTATTTTTCTGTTCTATATCTCTATTTTATAATAGCCGAATGCCACTCAAATTGAAGCCATTTAGTTGCCTTGTAGTAAGTTAGTGTATAACTCTCGCTATAATTTGGTGTTTTTTTCAAAAACCTACTCAAAAACTTTGACTCTGCATACAAGAATATGAACAATTATACAATACAACAAATATTATTCTTATAAACAGAAATCAAGTAGCAAAAAAAAACTATATATATATATATATACATATATACAATACTTTATTATACAATTAAAAGCAAGAGTAACAAAAAAAGAATGTAACCAAAACTACATTTAGTGTGTACTAATTATTTCGCGTTATAATTTCCAAATAAAAAATAGAATGAGTTAATAAAAACCATATGCTCCATTTGTAAGTTTTTCTGGCTCAGGCGCAGCCAACTTAACATGTTGTAATTTGACACTGTGGGGGAACCCCAAAATTCGAATTTCGATTGAAATGCAAAACGACTTATTTCGCGACTGTTTCCGTTTCACTTGACTTTCAAGCATTGCTATGCGATTTAAAGCAATTGAAAAAACTGGATTGGATTTCTTCATGTTCGATTTCCATTAAATTTGAGCTTTTTTCTTTTTGTTGACCCTGAATATGCTGTGCATATAGCGCCTTAGCTGTGCATATACATTATTAAATTCGTAATATAAATGTTGAATAAACATTTGATAACCTACCCATTTCTGTGAAACAGTTGTTGACATTCATGCCGTTCACGGAAGATGTTTCCAGGAATATCAAATTATGGTGCGTAGCATATTCTTCGGCCTCGAACTTTGTGACCGCGCGTCTTGTGTCCATATCCGATTTATTGCCAGCTAAAACAATCACCAGCTCTCGCGATATCTTAACAAGTGCGGTGAATTATCGCAATATATTAGTAAGATTTCTATAAAAATCCAATCACAATTCGCTATTTCTGGACATACTCTTTCTCTGAGCTCTGTCACCCATTCCTGAGCCTGGTCATAGCTCTCGCGATTCTGAATATCGTATACAATGACAGCTCCATTACAATGATCATAATACGTGCGTAGCAGGTTCTTAAATCTGTCTTTTAATTAGTTATCATATTTATTTAAGTCTGAAAAGCTTACCGTTCCTGACCGGAAGTATCCCAGATTTTCAGCCTGACGACGCCATTAACTAGGCAAACTCTCTTCACCTTGAATTCCGCGCCAACGGTTGCCACCGGCTCCGATATTGTCGGCTGGCTATCTGTTATAAAGCGCTGGAGTAGGGAAGATTTTCCCACGGCCGCATTGCCCAGCATCATGACCTGAAACTTGGCTTTCGCTCGGAAGGTTGATATACGTTGCATGTCTGTACTTGCTGCGCTTATGGACTCAACTAAATATCGTTGCAGAAAAAACCATTCTAGCAGCCCCACACATATATATATATATATATGGCTGAGGTATGAATCTCACAGAAGTCCATGGGCGTGGGTTGAGGGGGAGCAGATCGAACAGCTTCCCCCACAATGAAAAGTAAAACCAAATTAGCTGAGGTATGAATTTCAGAGAGGCCCTTACTCAGTTCTGGGGGCCATGTAGAACTCCAACAATTTACGAAATCCTGACTACGCCCATGGTTATGGTTCAACGCAAACTCTGCGTGATTCATTATCGACACAATTGAGTAAGGTTTGACGAGGAGAATGACATATATAGGGGTCAGGATTAAACACTTCGAGTTCGACTAAGTAAGTACAAGTATATTTTGCATCTTGAATATATAAGTTTTTATCAAATCAATGCATCAAACCAATCAAAATTCCAAAATTCTCAAGAACGATATGAAAAAATAGGCAGGTTAACCAAATGTTAGATCAAGGACTTGGAATCAAAGAACTGTATATATATATATAATAGAAAAACTAAATTAATTGATTAATTAATTAATTCATCGTATCTATCGAAATTTGTTTATTTTCAACTAATCCAGTTGAAGGTTAAGATTAATAATAATTGGAATTCCGGTTTATAGTATTCGACAGCCGCAAAATTCATCTGAACTTACTTTTAATGTATCAGGATTTTTTCTTGCTTGCAGTTTTTCAGCTAAAAGTCGAAAACTTTGTAAATTTTGTAACTTGAAAAATTGCCAATATTCTCACCGATTGCGGCGAAAATTTCATGTACATTTTGACCCGTTCTGGCCGACGTTTCCATGAATATATAGTCATTATTTTGAGCCAACGATTTCATTTCATCAGAATTCACGCACAAATCATCCCACAAATCCACCTTATTGGCGGCTATGGCAATAACCAGATCCGGGGCTAGCTAAGGCACACATCGATATTGATATTCAAAGGGGTTTTTTGCTCTGACTTGTGCATGTACAAACCTTTATGCGTACCTCGTCGATCCAGTCCTTGGCGCAGACATAACTAGCCCGATCCTGCACATCGTAGACCACAAGCGCCGCCTGGGCGCCCCTATAATACAAATGCGCCAAACGATGCCAGCTGGCCGTAAATCAATTATATAAATAATCTCAATCAGTTGACTTTAAAGATGTGTACTACCAACCGTTCCTCGCCGGCCACTTCCCAGGTGTCAAATTTCAGGCACTTGTTCAGATATATGCTGGAAAAGGCGGCAACGAGCGTGTTCTCCTTAACACTCAGATAGCTGCCGTGGGTAAAGTGGGAGACCAGGGATGACTTGCCCACCGTCGCAGCGCCCAAGATGACCAGCTTGTATCGCTTTATTAGCCAGGGCATGGTCTCTCTACGCCTAGCTGCCGTATCGCCCCTATTACGGCGCCATTGTACTTTGCCCTTGGCATTCGTGGAGCTCATTTGCGGACCAACCAATAGCAACTGAACGCAGCTTGCGCACTGCCTTAGCTAGGAAAGCGCATCCTCATTAAAGCTCTTTGTTTCCTAAAAATATCACAATCAAATTGCCGGATGACAAATCCTGAATCAGTACGTTTCCCGGCTCTCCACAGTGCGAATGCCTAATCGCGCTCCAAATGAGTGTGTTCTTAAGATTTCTAAAATTAAAAAAAAAAATAAATAAAGCTGTTCTATTTAAACTAAGTTAAAATGCCGATTAACAAAGTCAGTTTAAATACAACGAACTATTTTAGGTCAATTTTAGACTTTTGCTTTGAGCGGGCACAGTTTTCTTTTTTATAGAGCAAGAAAAGAGTTTTAGTTTCTCAGAATCGAAATATTGTTTTAGAAAAAGAAATATTGTTTCAAGTGGAAAACATGCGCTCTTCGAACGAACTCTTAATACATATAACCAAAGGGTTAAAATTTCTAAATATATATAAAACCGAAGAGCTTTATCGAAATTAGAAACTTGATTCCATAGAATGTTGTTTCGACTTTTATATATATATGTATATATATACGATTTTTATTATAAATGTTTTATTTAAATACATACATACAACATAAAAATTATAAATTGGAAAAATACACACAGCTGTTTAGGCGCGTCGGTTCTTCTACACACGCTGATTCATTCATTCTTCTTTTTGTTTTTTTTTTTTGTTTTCTTTTTCATTTATTTGTTGTTTTGTTGCTGTTGCTTGGTTGATCGCTGGTTGAGTTTTATGGTAAGTAGATAAAAAAAAAAATAAGTTCAAATACGATTTGTGGACAAAAGTAAACAAATGTGAACTTATGGTAAAGTATTTTGCAAGATTTAATTAATGATTTCTCTCACGTTGACAACTTCACTTTATCCGCTTAAACAACAGCTTTTGTTTTGCATACTATTTAAGATGTAAGCTTATGTGTTTACGATAATTAGTTTTAAAGTTAGGGATAGCATTAAATCTTTGATTGTTGCTAGAATGTGAAAATTAACAAACAAACAAAAAGCAGCTAAACGTAAATATGGAACCAAAAATTTATAACTATGAATAATTTCTTTCATTTTTTGTTTTTTTTTCTTTCTTTTTCCTTTTCTTATTTTCAATCGTTTTTTTTTTTTTTTTTTTTGGATTTTCATTTTTCATGTGTATATATATATATATATATAATTTATATAAATTGCAACTATCACACGTGCCCATCGCAGCCGAGACAGCCGGATAGGCACACACATTGCCACAGATCGAGGACGAGCAAATCTTCAACTACTGATCTGAACCGAACTGAACCAAAATTGAACTGATCTTCGGTTTTGTTTTCATATTTTTCCATTTTGTATTTTATTTTTTTGTTTTTTGTTTTTTTTTTTTTTATTGTATTTAAGTTTTATTGGAACGCTGCTGAAAACGACTGCAACTGGAATTTCTCTGGTTTCGGATACCCATACATGATTCCTCAAACTTACATGAAATGTGTAAACTTTATTTACTTTCTTAGCATGTTTCTCGCTTTTGTTTTATACAATTCAATTTGAAACGTTTCTACAATACGACGTGTACTCTTGAATTAATTAATTCGCTTCGTTAATGTTTACTTTTAATTTATTTAAAATGCGTCTTCGCATTCGGTTGAGATGAAAGTTGAAGGAGCTCTCTAAAATGGCGGTTATGAACTATGGGACCAGAGATAGAAATATTATAAGAGCGCTTTTTTGTATTTTTGTTTTCCGTTTTTGTTTTTGTTTCTGATACATTTGCGGTTGGTGTTAACGGGGCTATGTGTATTTATTTAAACTAACTTTTTGCTTTTACGTTTTGTTGTTTTTGTTTCCATTTAATTTAATTTATAATTAATATTATCTTTATGGTTTTTTTTTTCTTTCATCATCATAATCATCATCATCATCATCATCATTATCATCAATTATGAAAATTAAATTGTTTGCCCCTATGAGCAGCCGGCTTTAGGTTTTTAAATTTTAAATAATTTTTTATTTATAATTATCAGCATAAACTTTTCAAATCTCTCGTTGGAAATTTTATTTTCTGCAATGACAAAAAGCAACCAATTTAAAAGGAAATTATATACGATCCAATCAATTTCGCTGAAGGGCGCACACACACACACACACCTACAAAGGGACATCACTTGCAGCAGTTGTTCGTCGTTTGAGTTGGTTCGTTTCCATTTGGCTTTATAACAGATCCTTGATTGTTGTCGTTCTTCGGTAGTTTCTTGGCTGCAATACAAAATGGCATTCAATCAACATTGATATTGATTGTAGACTATAATCAAAGTTCATCACTTACCAATTGCCAAGAAAATATCATTGACATTCATGCCCGTCTTCGCAGAGGTTTCCATGAACAACAAGCCATTCTCCTCTGCATATTGCTTCGCCTCATCGAACTCCACAACGCGAATGTTCGACAAATCCGCCTTATTGCCAGCCAACGCAATGACAATGTTCGGTGAGGCCTACAATATAAATAGTTATAGAAAAATATGTAAATATTATATATTTTAATTAATTATTAACATTATGGACTTTAGGCTTAGAAAAACCTTCGACTGGACATGCCTTTAACAAATGTAATGAGGCGTTAAAAATGCCGGAAATTCTGAATGAGTTCAATGCTCGACGCAATGCTTCAGTTCATCAAATAAATAACATTAATAAACAAAACAATTTCAATTAGATTTATGAGAACAAGCTACCCAGTTCTGGACTGAATTGATTGTTTACTCACTTGTTTATGCAGTTCCTTGACCCAGGTTTTTGCACGCTGAAAACTGTCCTGATTCTGTATGTCATAGACAACGATGGCGGCCTGCGCACCTCTATAATACATAGGAGCTAAGCTGTGATACCTGAAAAAGTAACAATAACATGAATTATGGAAGTCACATTACCCTTGGGATTAACATCATTCCAATTAACATTAACATAATTGGTGACATTTGTCGCAACATGAATGTTAACATTAACATGAAATTTATGGAATGCATTCATCTTGCACTTACCGCTCCTGGCCGGCTGTATCCCAGATCTCAAACTTCACCACAGTATCCTCTATGCATATGGTTTGTGTGAGAAAAGCCGCACCTATCGTGCTCTCTTGATATTCATGGAACTGGCCCTTGACAAAGCGCAGCACCAATGACGATTTGCCCACTGCCGATTCGCCGAGTAGCACCAATTTGAATTGGCAGCTTTTATTCTGCGAGGTTCCATTGGGACGTTGTGCGGCTCCGGAGCCGGACCCCCCGCTGCGTGGTGTTGTTGCCATTTTTTGTGTTGTTGTTGTTTTTGTTGTTTTTATTGGTTTTGTTGTTGTTGCTGTTGTTTTTGCTGCTGCTGCTGCTGCTGTTGTTCTACCTTACAAAAACGTTTGATGTGAGATTTGTTGATGAGTTGCGGACGGTCAAAAGCGATTCTCTTTTCTCAATCTCGCTGCCTCTCTAGCTCTGTCAGCGCCTGTGTCTGTGTATAATCTAAGAAGAGAAGAATGTATAATGCAATGATTTGTAAGAATTCTGCGCTTGCTGATAAATACGGCTTTCCACGCGTCATTGGCCCATTGGCCGCGCGGCGCCTTTATTTGCATCAGCGATAATGGAAATTAATTAAACATGTCGTACACGCATAACTTCTCATATCGTATATATAGCGTATTATCGTTGCGGTTACAGAGAGTGTGAGAGCATCTGAGAGAGTATCAAGCAGAAACGCCCCATTAAAATTTGCCGACATACGACTATATCAGAGGACATGAATTTTAAGCCAACGCTTCAAAAATAAAAATATAAAAAAAAAAAAACGCCACATTAACTGATTAATGTACAGATATGCAAACATGACACCAACGAGCTCTTTTTTTTTGCAAATGGAATTTTTAAAAATTTAGCATAAGCGTTTCTTTCTCCATAGGCTCACGTACACGGCACACAGACGAGGAGGTCTGCTTCAGCTACAATCAGTGCAGGCAAAAAAGCCTTTAGGCAGGGAGCTTTTCATGCAAAAGCTCACTAATACCAGTGCACATAGATATACACAAGTGTGCGTATATTTTATTTAAGTTTAAAACCAGTTTTCCCTCATCAAGACCAGAAGAAGGTCGGAATCTTATCGCACATAAAATGCTGGAATACATCTATGTATCTAAATTAATGAACATGTGTAGATATAACGTAATGAATAGTTGAAATCTACGCTAATTGCTCGAATCAAGGTTCAAGGTCAAGAATGTGTGGTAAAGAAATGCTTGCGTGTCAGCGTCAAACACACACACACACACTCACACCTAGTCATTTGCAAATTGTGATTATCACAACAACAACAACAACACAATCCACTAGCAACTAGGGGAACTACTAAAAATACTTCAAACACGCGCAACAAAAAGGCAAGGAAACCTTAAAAATGTTTAGGCGCAATTATTGTTTTTCTCGTATGAATATCTGTTTTTTTTTTAAAGCAAGCAAATGAAGGGTTTTACCGCTTTGTTTATCTGGTTAAATTTTAGTTTTTGTGAAACAAAACACAAACTCAAACAAATGTAAGTTCTTATCAGTGGAAGGTCTATCTTATCTGCCTTACTCACATTATATATATGTATATATAGTAAAAAATTTGCTCGCTTCTCGTAAACTAATGGACCATGAGCTCATAAAATATGGCATTTATATATAATAATGAGTAATGAGCATATTGTCAAATGTTTTGCTAAAGTAACCGAGCACCAGATTTTCACTCTCAGTAGAGCATAGATTCCGTTACTCTGCGTTGCCAACTGAACGGAGGGTAGGGATATGCCGCACACTGTGATAACGAGAGCAACATCAGAGAAACCTTCACAACACGATTATAGAGTTCATTAAATGCCAAGCACCTCATCAAGAGTGCTGCGGCTCAGGAATGCTGCGTTTTACGTTAAATCAATTCGTTACATTTCGACAAACATTTACATACATATGTATGTATGTAAACTCCCACGTAGTATACGTTAACATTCACATTTTGCGCGTCAGCGTCTGTACACTTAATTAACAGCACGATGATAAACTGAACAGAGAAATCTGTTGCCAGACAACAGCAACAGCAACAGCTTTGGAAGAGAGCTTGAAAAACGGATCAAGCTGTGATGAGAACGCGCTGGACGAGTTAGCGTATATGTACCAGAGGGTTGCGGGTTGTGACGGGTGGACTAGGCGACAACATAGCGCTATGAAAATCAATTCAAAATTAATTATACAGTTGACAGGCGCGAGCCTCTAGCAAGCTGGCAGGAAGCAGTGCAGAGAAAGTAAAACGCACCGCATATCGTTATTGTTGCATTATTAAATTAACGTGCCAAAGCAACTTTACAACTATGCAGGCGACATCAACGACGTCGACAGAAATCGCTGTAGAAAAAACTGCTGCATTAACATTTTGCGTTTTCTATTGTACGCCATTTGAGGTTTTGGCGCTTTGGAGCAAAGTGCACAAACACACACACACACACGCACACACACATGCACAGAGAGAAGAAATAAGTTGTCAAGCACGACTTACACACACAAACTTATGTCAACTGCATGAACGTGAGTGTCGTTATTTTTTGCTCTCTCTCTCTCTCTCTGTCGGTTGGCACAAAGTAAAAAAATTTCACTTTGTTATAACTTCGCTGCATTTTATCACAATTGTATTACAGGCACATTATTCGAGTCGTTTTTGTCTCACACAGCTGCAAAATCGCTTTAGATTTAAATTAATCAAAAGATCACATGACTTCAAAGAGCAAACATTGTAAATTAAATAAACAATATTGATAAATGTTTTAGCAAATACTAGCGGAAATTCCCAACAGCTGGAGTCCAAATGCTGTTCAAAAACATTTGAATAACATGGAATATTATACACTTTAAGATTTAGTTTCGATCGTACCACACACAAAATAAAGCCAATACATTAACATCCGCAAATGAGCGGAAAACAATGGCAGCGCGCGACCCCTTCGAGGAAAATTCAATAAAATATAAAACAACGGTACAGCGACTAGTCAGGAAATTACCGTAGGCAACACTCGAACAGCTGACGATGCGTCATTCACACAGAAAACCGAACAACTGACACACACACAAACACAAACACAAACACACACACACACACAATGCAAAGAGAGAACCAATAGCAAAGGGTGGGAGAGAGCCATACTATCGCACACAATAAAACCAGAGACATTTACACAAAAACAGCACAATCATTATTATTTTGAGATCGGCTTTAGGCAGTTCGTGTATCGAGAAAAACGCATTTATGCTGTTATCCACAACTATTTTCAAATATTCCTCTGATTATTGCCAACTCCAAACTCCTAGAACGCACCTATTTCAAAAACAAGCCTAGTCTAAGCAAAAGTCAACAAGTGTAACACAAAACATCTATGCGTAATTATTTGTTTAGAGCAACAAATTACAAAATGCTCTCGGCACTAGTTTGTCTCAAACTGTCGACAGATTTTTGTCGAATTTCCACAGCATCAGCTTTAATAAGAGCGCATAAAAAGGCGGATACATAAACAAAGAAAACAAAAAATAGCGATTTTGTTTACATTAAGCAGGCTTCAGACATTTTCTCTTGGCATGGTTGAGGCTTTCGAGGCAGGCGTCATGAAGCAGGGGCGTTGAAGCTGGCATACCGATAAGCGACGATTGTAGATAAATCCGCAAACACATACACACACACACATACACAATCGCAGAAAGAGCTCCATATTTAAAGACGCAAAAAGCGAAAGAACAATGAATAAGGTAAACTGGCTAAGAGTAACAAGGCTTTGCCGATTACTGATTACCAGTCTGGGCCTTTGACTGTCGCGCACCTGTAATTGTATTATTCACAGCTATATTGCCCTTCGGTTATCATGCAAAACAAGTGCGCACATTTATTGCGCTATTCGTGCCACTGTGCGCTGCAGTTAAGCACCAACACAACTCATGCTATCTTGCTTTGACACACGCTTTCGCATGCAACGCACCCAATTTCAGGGCCAGCTATCGCGCTCGCTTACTCATTCTCGCTGAGCAGCAGTATTTCTGTGTGTGTTTTGTGGGGCGAATTGATTGCTGCTCGCGCTCTCTTTTTCTCCGCTCAGCACCAGCTATCGATGACGATTGTAATGGTGGACATGAAAAATTTTACACAACTTTCTTAATTAATGGAAAAACAACAGCGCCCTTTGCATGCACTTGTCTGTTCTCTCTTATTGTTACGCACTTTAATTGTAGCTGTAATTTTTTGCACACTTTGCTGCTGCCACTCACTCTTTGTTTGTATTTGTCTGTGATTTACGATTTCTTATTTGCGTTTTTGAACGTAGCACAGCCACGGGAACTTGGAAACAAACGCACGCAGACAGAGATAGACAGCGACTGACTCTGTCCCCACGACTCTCAGCAATTTCAGGTCTTGTTTTTGTTAATTTTGAGGCGTTGCATGAATGCTCAGATGTGACTTGCAGTATTTCAGTTGCTGCTTGGTTTTTGAATGCAGTCCACAAATATTATTGCTTTTACCACTCTGTTTTTTTGCAAATATTGCCTTGATAATTGCTGAACTTGAATCCACTTACAATTTTTTTAGTGATGTAAGAAAACATCGGATAATCGGTGTTTGTTGCAGCGATGTTGGCCGATGCTTACTCGATGTTTCAATGCCGTAAATTCCGATGTATACGAATCGATTATTGCTAAATACAGATATCGAATCAGTGCTACCTCTAGTCAAGCGAAAACTTTTGTTTTCTGAAGAGGTACTTTCATATATAATACAAAGAATCCGTTGCTAACTGTTATAGCGGAAATATCTTCGGTTGGGCCCGAGACCTTCGTCTCTCCCGCTCGACGAAACAGGGTACACTAGGCGCTATACGCAATAAGCCAATTACTGGAAGACTTCTAAAACAATTATTTTTAAGAGAATGTCAACGAACTCCAAAGACTTGAGCTTTATTTTTATGTAAGGCTGTAAAGAGAAAGCAAAAATAACAAATAACATTGAACTAGCAAGTTTATCTAACGATTCTGGCATGTTAGGGTAATTTTATTTTATTATATAGGTCCACTACAAATTTCATGACTTAATTATAAATCATATATGTATGTTCTTCTTCGTTAACTTTTCGATCACAGCAACTAGAAGAGCTAGGTACTGGACATTTGAAATAAATATGTATACATATATTCTTCTATTCCGTTATGCCATTTATATATTCTAATTTAAAAACTAAAAGAACATGATACACCCAATTTTTGTTAAAGTATACTTATATATCATTTTATTTACCTCAGACCTTTACAGTGCGTGGAACGAGAGTATTTATGTTAGAGTATTTAAGCCGACTGAAGGTTTATATTTCTATGTGAAATAGCTTTTTCACAGAGAATATATTTATTAAAAAATGTAATATTTTTTAGAATTTTATTGTTTTATGATTTACAATTACAATATTATAATCGCTTTAAGCGATCTCGGGTGAAAGGGTCGCCATAATAATCAAGATGCAGAAGATTTAAACTTTGTGGTGTTTGCGACTTTTGCTGCTCTTTTTGCATTTATAGTTTTTCACGAGCTTTAGTTTTGCATCACATCTGCAACAAGTGTAATGTACACCGATCATCCACATTTAAAATCACTAGATAATCGGCGATTAATTGAATCAGGGTCGACTATCGGCGGAGAATCGTTTAGTGTTGCGTTACGAATTAAGCTGAAAATGTACTCACAATAAATGCATTATATACCAACGATTATATACCTCAAAAATCAACTCTACAAGAATCATTTTTTTACATGTAGTCACCAATACTCCTTGATCTTAACCTTACATACTAGCATAAAATAACGTTTTCTATGGATATCATGTGATATATGTATTCTATCTTTGCCTTCTTTAATCTAACCGACCATCCTCTGACTTTACGTGGCGTCCAATCAATTAGTGCTATTTGGTTTTATGTCATCTTTGACCAACTACGTCATTGCTCGCAAGTTTTGTGCTTAAATTGGTATTTTCGGTATTTTGGCTTATTTGGTCACATTATTATATTGAGTATTTTGTGAATGGCAGTAAATGGTAATAACATTGCGCGAGGAGAAGTGAAAACGTCAATCGAGATTCTTAAAACGCAGGATTTGATTAAATAATTAAAGCTTTACGGCTAATATTTAGGCCAATTACCGTGCAGACTAAATAAAAGTGAATTTTGCACTTAACAGACATTAACCGCATCCTGTTGCGAACCCCTCAGCACACACACACACACACACACACAACCATTAACATTTGTGATCTATGCGCTGCGCCTCCTTTGCTCGTACACACAAACACACGAACACTCGCGCACACACACACACACGCTGCAGTCGCTCCGTTCCGTCGCAGTTTTCACAGCTGCAACGCAAATTCGTAAAAGGAGTTTGCAAATTTGCTTTAAGTGTCCCGGAAAAGCGTAATCAAAGCGCACTGCGCTGATTAATCGGATAAAAGGTGCGCAATTTATTGATTTTGCTTAAGCTTAAATTGTTATTACTGTTGCTCGGTTTTTTTCCTCGCCTTCGATTTCAATTTAATTACATTTGCCACAAGCTGTTGCATACACACAGATGCGGAGGCTTGCGTACATTAGGTAAAATTGCATTTTTTAATCTGCACACAAATCCTGGCTACGCTTGCACGTGGCGGCCTAGGCGTGCCCTTCGCATACACACGCACCTGCACCGGAATTTTCCCGCACCAAATTCCACCTACGACATACAGAGTCGAACAAAAGGAAACTCAACGAGATCCGACCACGATTATAAAACAATTATTAAGACTGGGATTCTCATTTCACGTGGATGAGAACTGTTGCCACGGACTGACTGATCAGTCGTTAAATCTATTGATGGTTTTTTTTTTATATAAAAAAGAAAACGAATTTCAGAACTCTTGAATTTTCCGGAAAATTATTTTCGTATGCAGTTTACGGGACACTGAATATTCCATTCCCACATATATTTACATATTTGAAATTGAATTTGTCCTATTTGTAATATGACTCCTGAGTTTTTGAATATTTCAATCTCTGCAGTTGTATTTTCTATACAAAGTTTAATCAATATATTCTTAATTTAATATATTCTGTGATATATTTGTTTGTTCTCTCATCTACGCAAAACCTGAGATTAGTTTAGATAGAAACAGGAATAGAGCTCTAAATTGAATAATCGCGTTTGCAACAAATTTCTTAGCTTATAATCATTATTTTAAAAAACAATATTGTGCATAGAACTCTTAAAAATGTATCTAAATATTTGTAAAAAAAAAAACTTACGATAATTAATTTAGTGAAACAGAAGAAGCTGCTGGTCTTTGGTTTTCTTCTCTGCATGTTTTTAAGAATTTAATAACTTTGTTTTTTTTTCTGTGCAGATGGAACAGACGCTGCAGCCGCTTTTGACTAGGAGGCTGAAGAACTGAGCTCCAGCTGGGTGAGCCTCTGCGGGCGGCCATGAAAAGCATGTTCCGTCCGATCAAAAAGATATTCACGTACATACAGAAAAATGCCAGCAATGGGACAATGTTTGGCAACACGAGTAGTGTAAACGGCGACATTGAAGGCGTCAGCGCCAGCGGCGGCGGCGCAAGGTCGGACCCGCCGAAGGAGCTGGTGCTGGAGCAGCAGCTGCAGTCGCTGGAGCAGGCATCGGACCAGCAGCTGGATGATGATGACATTGAGCGTCAAATAAAAACCTCGATTATCGATGCATCCAAGGTGCATGCGGCCAAGACGAAAATTGTGCTGCCGCTGCAGCTGCAGCTAGACGATGAGCTGGCGGACTTTGCGCACGAGCCGGTGACGCTGGCGGATGAGGATGACGATGACCTGGACGAACAGTTTTTGGAGCTAGAGAATTTTCCTAACAATGAGATAATTGTGCTTAGCGACAATGAGCTCAATTCATCGCTGGCCTCGGACAACGTATCCGAGGATCCACTGGCGATAGACGACTTTACGCAGCCGCTGCTACGCGAGGAGGACAACGAGGAGGAGGAGGAGGCGGCCGAGTCTAGCGGCGATTTGCTGTGGCTCAAACTGGACACGCCCGCATTGGAGGCCACTGGCAGCAGTAGAAGCCTCATTGTGCCCGCTCCAAGCTGCAGAAATTCAGCGGCAGCTGCAGTGAAGCCGCCCACCAAGACCAAAGAGGAGGAGCTGCGTAGTGACGGTGGCTCCGATTCAGGATTGGGCAGTGAAAACGATAGACACAACACAATAGGAACAACAGCAACAAACACGAGTGTGCCGAAGCCGCTGCGCTCGAATCTGAAGCGGCGCCTGGATGATGATGCCATGGAGTTGGCTCTGGGGCCCGACATAAGCAGCGGTATCAGTTGCTGTTCCAGCACACAGAAACGCTCGAAGCGTTGCATTAACTTTGACAGCGTTAAGGTCTATTACTTTCCCAGGCAGCAGGGCTTCAGCTGTGTGCCTACCGCTGGCGGCTGTACGCTGGGCATGGGCGCCAGGCATATTGCCTTCAAGACCATGACGCTGGCCGAGCATGCGGCGGAACTGAGGCGAGCGCATCGCAACCAAAATCAGGAGCAGCAACAGCTGCAAGTGCGTGGCTCCAGCAGCGATGACAGCGAGGAATCTGAAGAGGATTACCTGAGCGAGGGCAGCGGCTCCGATGCCGACGATGGCTCCAATGGCTTCCTGCAGCCGGTAACACCCAAGCAGCGGCGTGCCCTGCTGAAAGCCGCCGGTGTGCGTAAGATCGATGCCAGCGAGAAGATCGACTGCCGGGACATACGCAACTCCCGTGAGGTGTGCGGCTGTTCGTGTCGCGAGTTCTGCGACCCGGAGACGTGCGCCTGCAGCCAGGCGGGCATCAAGTGCCAAGTAGATCGCGCCATGTTCCCCTGCGGCTGTACGCGCGAGGCCTGCGGCAACACTGTCGGCCGCGTCGAGTTCAATCCGACGCGCGTGCGCACCCATTACATACACACCGTCATGCGGCTGGACATGGAGCAGCGCCAGAGCCAGGGACCGCCGACGGCGAATAGCGGCAACAGTTTGGTCTATGGCAGCAGTGCCTCTGTCAGCAGCAGCCCAGGCGTCGCTGCTGTTGCCGCTGCCGCCGTCGCCGCCGCCGCCTCACACTGTTTCTTCATGCAGCCGCAATCCAATTACAGCTCCGGCTATGCCTCGCCAGCGTACACGCCCGAACCGAGCGTCAGCTACTACCAGCAGCAACAGACTCCACAGTCGTCTGCTTCCCCCGGCTCGAACAGTGGCACGGCGCAGCAGTCCAGCTATGCCGCCAGCTATCCGCAGCTGGACAGCCTCGATTCGGGCCTCTTTGCCAGCGGTAGCAATGCCACGCCCTCGTACGGCGAGCTACTAACGCCCACCTATCATCAGACTCTCAGCTATGGTAGCTCCCAGGTGAGTGTAGACCGGAATCGAGGTGCCACAGATTTAAAAATCTTTAAAAAAAAAAACTTATCTTTGCTCTTTGAAGAAATGTGGCTTTGACTTAATTCAAAGACGAATGTCTGAGAAAGCACAACAGAATACCTGCAGGGATGACCTCTTCCTTTGTAAATGCTTGCTTACTATTAGCATCTTTCTCGAATTTAACGCTAGGCTAAAGAAACTTTCTCTAAAAATAGCTCTTAACTGATGCGCTTTTGTTGTACTTGCGCTGTAGAAATGGAAAACAATGCTCAGCTTGGAAAAAGAACTGGACTTGGACTAACTGAAGGTTACCTTTAGGGCTACGATTGGGTACAGGCGATTTCCGACTTTCACAAACCTAGTACCCCTAGGACTTAGTATATGCAAGCTGCCTTTGATGAAGCTCAGTTTAACCAAATCCTACAGGTAGCCACGTTTGCAGCTTGTCAAGATTCATATGCATGCCTCGAATTGCATAAGGCATATTCTTTTTACTCTTAAAATTGGCTTGCATTCATCGAAATGGATATACAGTGGACTTGTAGACCCTTAGTACAACTTGTTGACTCGAATGCGATGAACTCCCTTCAGGAGACATCAGACATCGGCTCCCCAGCTATAGAGAATGATTAGACTTTATTAAATTTATGTGCTTGGCTTGTCTTTGCAGCTAAATCCCTATACCGCCTATCAACAGACGACCACTTCATCCGGCGGCATTGTGTCAGCCGGTGCGTACAGCTCGTGTGCGGTGCCGTCTGTGCCGCCGTTTGGCAATGCCACCACCACCGCCTCGAATGCTACGCAATATCAGCACACGAATGCGTTAGAAACAACCGCCGCATCCCTGAATACCAGCAGCAGCAGCAGCATATCCATAACGGCCAGCAGCTGCGCCACGGGCCTGGCACGGCTTGGCAGCGGCAGTGGTCCGGTTGATTTTATTAGCCTGAATGCGCCCATTGGCAGTTCGTCGCGCATCTCGCAGATCAACGATCTATTGCAGCACAATCGTAATACCACCGTCGCTTTGGTGGCCGTCTCCGAGAGCTATACCACCGTGCGCAACAGCAACAGCAGCAGCAGCAGCGGCGGCGGCAATACTAGCAGCAGCGGCTCCACAAACCCCACCAGCACCATCGATTCGATTGACACGCCGCCCATTGTCGAGGAGACGCAGCGTAGCTGCATGACGTTCGAGGAGCTGCCGCCGCCGCTCATCAATCCGACGCCCATTGTGGCCGTTGTAGAGCAGCAGCAGCAGCAGCACAAACAAATGCTGGCCGTGTCCACAACGCCGCTGCCGCGCCAGCCGCTGGATGCCAGCGCCAGCGTAGCCGAGTCATTGTCAAGCAGCAGCAACTGAAGCGACAGACGCCGGCATAGTTTTTATAGCAATTTTACACAGCAGAAGACTTAATAATTGTTTAAGTGGCAGCGACGGAATCAAAATCCATGTCTAGGATTTATCATTTGTTTCTGGCCAGGCACAGCCTCGGACGTACCCTACTTCAGTGGCGGCAGGCGTCCATATATGTGCATATATGTAAAATGCATGCTCGCCTTGTATAAATCAGTTTTAATTGTTATAATTCTAATTAGTCTTAAGCAAACATTGTAATTTAGTCACTTCGTTGATTAGGTTTGGATCCTTTATTTTTCTCAACAATATATCAACTAATATATATATTTACTTTGGCAATTCCTATTGAGAAAATCACCTGCTACTTCCCATTCACGTCTAGCGTTGTTTCAACGAATTTAATCCAGCTGAGCCTTGAACAATTCATGAAAAAAAAATCATTAACTATATATGCATAATTAATTGCAAATATAATTTTATTATTTTTTTTTTTTTAACAGATTTAGCTCTCAACTAATTTATTGCGTTGCATTTACACTATTTAAAAATATCGTAACTTGCTTTATTTTATTTTTATTTTTCCTATTATTTTCCTGTTGGGCTTATGCCGTCTGCGTTAAGTATTCATTTAGTTCTTAAGTTCGCGATTTGACCTTAGCAGATTAGCCCTAATGAACCAATAAAAGCAGCAACAGCAACAACAAATATAACATTAGACATGAATTAGTAATATTTATGTATATGCAATTTAATAACAGCTACAAAAAAAAAAAACAAGAAAATAAATAAATAAAACAAGAAGAGAAAAAACGTAAAATGAACTAAATGCAAGTAAAAAGTAAATGCAAATATTTAAATAAATATTGAATACAAAATATAAACACTTATATTTTCTCATAATCATTTTTTATCTTGACAGGAAAACATATGGAAACTTTGGCCTTGCAAGGCCGGGTAATATACGCTATTTTGTATTCAAAGTTGAACGAAACAAGTAAGTTACATTTGTATATTTAAGCGTATTTGTCTAATTTGTTGTTGGTTAACAGGAAAAAAGTTCTATGACTATATAAAACAAAATCTCACGCTTCATCTCTCTACACTTCCCGGCCGAGCACATCGTCGTAGCTGACGCCAATTTGTCGGCGTATCTGATCGGTTAGAGCAATCAGCTCCAAGCTGGCAGCATGCGTGTACTTGGGGCTCTCCAGTAGGCGCTTCTCAATGCATTTGCGGACCTCCTCGGCCTCATAGCGCAGGCCACAGGAGTTGGTATAGTGGAAATCAAACTTGGCGCTAGGCAGTGGCCAGGACTCGGGCGGATTGTTGGATTGCGTCAGCTGAGTGCAACACCAATAGTTGGAGAGCTTAACAATGGAAATTGGCACTGATAAGCTACGTGTTCGGGTGCAATAGGTTGACAATGCAATGCGATAAGCTCACCTTAATCTCGCCCTTCGTGCCCACGATTATCGCGTCGTTGCCCAGATTCTCCAGACCCGTAATGAGCGCCATGAGACGACGATTTTCTCCGTAGTCTAGTATAAATTCGGTTTTCACATCCACGCGTTCGGCATTCAGCTGAGTGCCGCTGGGTATGATCTTTACGGGCGCCGTGCCAAACACAAACTGGCCCAGCTGCAGGGCATAGATGCCAATGTCCAGGGTGATCGAGCCGCCCAATGAGCGGCTGTTAATGCGCTCCACGTTGACCAAGCGGAACCCGTGCTGCAGCCTGATCAGCTTGACCTCGCCAATGCAATTGCTGAGCAGCAGCTCACGCAGGCGATCATAGCTGGGAAAGAAGCGACTCCACATGCCTGCAAGCAATCCGATTGCATTACCAATTTGCCACATTTCCGGTCGCCACCCACTCACCTTCCATGAGAAACAAGCCACGCTGCTCGGCCAATGCGTAGAGCTCCCGCGCCTGCTGCAGGCCCAGGCACAGGGGCGTCTCGCAGAGCACATGCTTGCCCCGCGACAACATGAGCCGCACCACGGCATAGTGAAAGGGATTCAGCGTGCCCACATACACCACATCGACATCCCGGTCCAGGGAGAGCTCCTCGAAGCCATCGTAATGTCGCGGTATTTGATTGCGCTGCGCAAATTCCTGTGCCCGGGCGCCCTCCACATCCGCAACGGCCTGCACCACGTGTCGACAGTTCTCAATGGTGCCCAGCGCAGTGACAAAGTCTTGGGTGATGCGTCCAGCTGCTGCGATGCCCCAATTCAGATTCTGGCTCTGCATTTTGTGTTTTGTGCAACTCTGTGCTGTCGCCTCGCAATAGTTGGCACAACTGTCGGAACGCATCCGGCGCTCGATGCGCCAAGTACGCACCTTATCAGGCCCTGGCATCTGCATTCATTGCACTTTTTCATTACGTTTCCAACTGATAACAAAGTAACAGGGACAGCTAGTTTTCAGAGCTTTCTATAATATGTCATGTGAATATCAGCCCAAGTTGCGTGAAGCAGGAGCTATCAGGTGAAGACATAGCGTTCATATAGACGAACATGGCTAAATTGACACGCCTCCTTCTGCCTGTTACATCCATTTGTTCCAAACCAAATATACCCATCTTTGCCCATTATCAAGGGGTACAGGCTTGTGAATAATAACAAAGTAAACAAAAAATATTAAAAATTGATAAGCGCTATTGGAGGGTCGAACCGCCGATCTTTCGTTTCTTCCCATTTGTGGGTCAATTTTCCAAAAGGAAGCTTCAACGAATTTCCCAGCTCGACCCAGCCAAGACGAACTCTTGCATATACCGGTAGAACAGGTAATTATAATAAATTAATTACAAATAAATTTCTTAACAATAAGAACCAATTTACACGAACCCAACAGAAACTAACATGAACCAATTTTCTTCTGGTTATACTAAAAAAATAGTTGCTAAAAAGTTATTCTAAGTTCCATAGAATATAGATTGTTAAAACATAAACTGACAATAGATTTACGAAAGCTTGACCTGAACAAAGTCATAAATTGCGATTGTGCAAACCTGATTGTACAAGCTGCAAACTTCCCATGAAGATTAGATAAGACTATTAAATACATTTAGATAGAGTACAGATTATAATTGCGAACATGAAAAAGTTAAAATCGTTTTGGTAGTTATTATATAGACTTGTATATTATATGTGGCAAATTTGGTCTATTCCTCGTCATATTTATTGAGCACACCGATCTGTTTTCTGATCGTGTCCTCGATCTGGGCAAATAGCAAACTGTCCGCGTAGGTGACGCTCTTGTTCTCCAACTCGCCAGCGAGTATGGATTGACGCACTGCCTCCGCCTCATAGCGCATGCCCTCCGAGTTGCCATAGTTGGTCGCGTACTTGCCCTTGGGCGGCAGCCACTCCTTCTCCTTGCCATCGATGTCAATCAGTTTGTTGGGCGACCAAAAATTAATCAACTGTAATGCAAAAATATTTGAGAATTAAATTGGAGTGGAATTTATGATACGTAGATTGAGGATTAAGGAGAAGCGAATTGAAACCAGCTTTGGAGCAAGCCGCTCCAAGTCCGGAATGAACATTGGAAGCAAACCTTGAACCAAAACCATTTAAGGATAGGTTAAAATTGAGGCAGACCTTAAAGCTTGGAATGTTTCCACTAGAATGGCAAATTACAAATTGGAAACTAGGTTGTTAAACCGAGCGTTAGCTCGAATTCCCGACCAATTCTTTTGGGCTAACAGCCCTTGGTAAATACCCAGACCGGAGGCTCTGCTCTGCTGATAAGTTCGGGTTCTTGAAATAGATTTTGTGTCGTCACGAAAACACTCGACTTTGAGCACATGCCGGCAACGTGAACGTTTATCAATGTTTTTTTTTTTTTGCCATCGAATGTGCCGAATCATGGTGGGCGTGTTATTCACGTACCGTTACTTGTCCTTTGGTGCCCTTGATGACGGCCTTGTTATCCAGCTGCACCTTGCCAGAGACCCGCATGCGTGCAGTGCGTCCGCCGCTGTAGGTGAGCGTGGCGCTGACATCATCGTCCACGCCCTCGGCGTTGGTCTGCCCGGTCGATTCGATTTTCAGCGGCGGCTCCTGGAATGCCCACTGCGACACTTGGATAGTATAAATGCCCAGATCGTAAACAACGCCGCCGCCCAACTCGCGTTTCCTGCAGGAAACAGATTAGATACTGTGGCTAGCTGCCCAGCTAAGACTTACTGCAGCCGATCGACGTTGGACAGGGGAAAACCAAAATTGACCTCCACCTCTTTGACCTCGCCTAGGGCGCCGGTCTGGATGAGCTGGCGCACATGCTCATAAGAGGGAAAGAAGCGTGACCAGACGGCCTCCATGAAGAAGCGTTTGTTTGCCTTGGCGGCAGCCAATATGCCCTCCACCTGTTTCTTGTTCATTGCCAGCGGCTTCTCGCAGAGCACATGCTTGCCATGGTTGAGCATCAGCAGGGAAACCTCATAGTGCTGCGGATTCAGCACGCCGATATAGACCACATCTGTAAATGAGGCGGAGGGGGGTCAATGAGGAATGAGGCCCATTTGACTGGCAGGACACTTACCCACATCCTTGCTCTTCGCCAGCTCCTCGTAGCTGCCATAGGCATTGGGTATCTCGTGCTTCTTGGCAAACTCTGCAGCCCGCTCCTGGGCGCGTGCTGCCACAGCTACGACCTTGTGATCTGTGGCCGGCAGCGTGCTTAATGCAATCACAAAGTCCTCGCTAATTTTGCCAGCGGACGCGATGCCCCAGCGGATGAGTTTGCCCGACGACATGTTCAACGTTTCGGTAATGCCCTGTGAATGAGTTAATGGCGGGACGTGTTGTTAGTTAAATATGAAAACGTCGGTGCCGGTAACACATCTGGGTCGTGCTATCAGCTGTGGGACAAGGCGAGAAAGCATACAGCGCGAAGGGGATGCAGAAACTTTCCGATAAGGTGCGATGGTATGCACTTCAATATCTACAGTACATTGATGCCCTTTGCAGAGGGTATACAGACAACTCCACCTATGCCTTTTGGCCGTAGCTCTAACATAAAAGAGATTCTATTTTAAAGTTTAATAAATGAAATACCTATTTCTCATTGTTTCTGCCAGTTTGAAATGTTGGAATTTCGCAACGTTATTAAATTAATATCATTGACCTTTTTACAACAATATAAATAGGCTAATGTTCACTTTTGACAATAATTACTAATTTACCTTATATATGTATGTATATGTGCGTGTGTGTGCAGATGTCCACAATTATTATTCTGTTAGTATTATATATGTATATACTATGTACATTAACATTTAATATTGTGTGCAGCAGGCGAGCTTTCAATATGGTTACATATTTCTGTTTACAAATGCAACAGGTGCAGCCGTGTTCGGATTATTTTCTGCTAAGGTGCATTAAGATATGTTTACATATTTACGTGTTTACATTCTTTAATTTACTGTACCGGCTATATGTATTTGTAAATGCATTGAAAGCTATACCTGAAAATAGTTGCTTATTGATAGCTTATTGATAGCACTAACAACGTTTGCACTATTTTTATAACTAAAAACTTTCCGCTGTGTTCTGTAGAGCGACACATCGACAACAGTCAAAAGTTTGCCTTAACAGTAGCATAACAGAAGTGAGAATATACATATGCATCAACAATGTGAAATACCAGTATTAAAAGCTAACACAACTTCTATTTATGTCTCATTTCGATTTGATTTAATAATATTTTTTCTCCGTTATTTTATTTTAAAAAACTTGATTCTTGGCGAGCTTAAGTTAGCAATAAGTAACGCAATTTGAAAAAAGCGCCATAGCAAGCTTGTCATTCGTATGTAAGCGTTGCGCCGAACTTGACGAAAGTCGGCAGCCATGGCTACACTTACTTAACGACTAGACTGATTTAATGCAGCCCTGGTACTGATACTGTGCGCGTTGCAAGTAAATTTTTGACTCTCTTGTTTTCTTAAATATTGTGCCATCTGTGCGACCAAAAATCATTTTTGCTGTGCAGCAACTCGCATTGCCCAACGCTACACGGCTGGTCTGAACGCTGCGCTGTGCTAAAACGCGATTGTAAACATGTCCGAACGCTCCAAAGGTGACGTGTCGCGCGTTAACAACAATGCAAATCGAATTGTTAAAAATCCGCTGCTCAGCGCCTCCGTGACGGGACTCACCTTTGATGACTTCCCCAATAAGCCGGTCCTGCTACCAGCCGCTCCGCCCGTGGTGCATGCATCGCCACCGCAGCCCACGTCCGCCCTCATCGCTGGCATTCTCAATCGCGGTAAGTGTGTCAGCCACAAGAGAGCACAGATTGAACCACAGAGAGCGACAGAGAGACAGAGAAAGAGAAAGAGAGTGGCGTGTGGGCCGCAGTTCAATTGTCACTTGTTGCTTGTTTTTTTTTTTGCTTTTGGGCTGATAAGCGTTAACAGTTTTCTGGTATCTTTATTGGGCAATTCTTAAAGTTCGTGTTTATAGTTGTTGTATATTTGGCAAAGAGTATTCCTAATCTATTCCATGCTGCGCGTCGAGTGCGAGCGATAGGTGGGCAGCTCCAGCGACACCTTGCGCCGCCTGCAGCACCAGACAATACTCCAAATCAGGAGCACAATCAGCAGCAGCAGCAGAATGGCGCCGAGACAAATGGCAGCTATAGCTGCCTCGGTCAACACCACGTCCCGAACGTCAATGTTAACGCTGCGCTGATTGCCTGCCGCATCGTAGGCCGTTATGGCCACCTTTGGCTCGCAGCATGAGGCCATGTAGGTGGCCTTCAGTGGCTCCGTTGTGCCCGCCGTGTAGTAGTTGCGATAGAACAGACCCTCCGCTGGCGTCGTCTGCAGGCGCAGCATGCCCGACTGCCAGTCCTGTGCGGTTAGGTCCAGTGTCCAGAAACGATCGCCACAGCTCAGTCCATCGCTGGCCACATAGTCGCAGCGACTACCAAACTCCCAGGAAAGATTTGGTCCCGACGTATCCTAAACGGATCAGCATGTTATTTAGCGCATAGTCAGGAGATTCTTAGACTGCAATACGAACCTGTGCATCAATGCTGGATACGACCTTAAGACTAACAGCCAAAGTGGCCGTCTCGCGTCCGTAGCTGGTGAAAGTGATTCTATCGGTGGTGCCCGACGCTGTGCCATCCGGCACCAGCACGGTCAGACGCACGCTGCTTGTTTCCCGTGCACGCAAATAGAAGCTGCAAATAGTGAAGAGTTTCAGTGCCAAATTTGTCTAGCAGCATTTATGCTGGCGAACTCACCCCGTTGGGCTGAGCTGCACGAGATAGCGGCGCTCGTCCGTCACCTGGACGGTCTGATAGACGCGCTCCGCCCGCATATTTGTCACCTCGAAGAGCAGCGTGGTGACTTGACCCGCGTTGACCAAGAGCCTCGATTGTGTGCTGAGCTCTATTTTGGTGCCGCAGCGCTGCAGCAGCATGGCATTCAGATTGGCTCGCTGCGGCTCACCCGTGGCGGCGGCGAATTGGGTTTGATTGAGGCTAGTCGCTGGCTGCACCAGCTCTGTTTCCGAGAAGGTTTCCACTTCGCTTTTGGGCGACTGCGATTCGCTCTCTAACTTCTCTTGCGACTCGGGAAACTTGAGCTTGGCCAGGCGTGCCAGCGAAGCCAGCGGACGTTCAGTTCGTCCATGCGAATAGTAGCTATCGATTCGTTTTATGATATCTCCTACAATTGACAACGAAAACAGGAATTGTTAGCTTCAGAACGAACACGTGCTTGTTGTTGTCGCCGCCGATGACAACGGTTCTTTTGTGTGTGCTCCGGATTGGATGGCGTCAACAATCATTTCGCTGCGATGACGCTCAAGGTTGACACGGTTATCAGAAAGGCGGGCCGCGTTATCAGCCAGCATAGAGCACCGGTTAGCTTGTCTTGTTTTCGTTTTTCGTGTGCCACAAACAACGCATCTTAATTATAATTATTCTCTGTTCAGTTGTATGCGTCAAGCGCGATCGCCAGTTTGCTTTTCACAACTTTCAATTGATTCGTTTTGCTGCGACAAACAACAAAAGGCACATACATACATTAATATATATATAACACTTACTCAGGAAAACATCAGCTTTGCGTTCGGCGCGTATAAATACATTGAATGCGGCGTTGGGCGATTCCGGCGTCAGCTGCAGCTTGAGGATTGCCGCTTTACGCAGCTTGTTGAGCGGTATGTAGGCGTCCAGTTCGTCGGTGCTGACATTTCGGGTGTCGTTGGTTGACTTGAATTTGACCAATTTCTTTAAATTGATGTCTATGCAAAAATGATACAAAATGCACAAATAAGTTAACAGGTGTATTTTGCCATTCACTGTGCCAGCGTACACAGCTGTTTGCGTTTGGCGTTGCCAGACTGTTAGCAACAGCGTTGTGTACATAATAAAATGATTAATCAACATTAAACCAAGTGCAAAACCTCAATAACGGTTGCACATAATTGCAGTATGATCTGCAGAAATTGTGCAAGCTATTATCATTAGCTTCAATTATCAAACCATAAACATATAAGCAACAGTTCGCGCGCTGGCAACTCTGCGCTTGTTTTGTGTATGTTATGCAGCAGCTGCTCTGTTGTTGTTGCTGTTATTGTTGTCGTATTGTGAAAGGAAAACACTTCTGCAAAACATTTAACACAAAAACGATTGTTTCTCATTGTGAAATTAAACAAATTGTCAAATAACTGTACAACGCTAAAGTGGTGGCCTAGCCGAGTTAAATGTTGCCACAAAGCCCACTTGCCATCTGACATGACCGGCGGCGTAATATAAATTTCTGTTCGTGTACATCATCAAAAACAGCCTGATTCGATTTTGGTCAGGCCACTTTTGAACTTGGCCATGGCAGTGGCCAAATGCATGCTGGCCGACTAACTAATGTGTATGTATTTGTATATATATAAATAATATTGCGACATTTTGACAACATTATCAACTAAAACTTGCCATTTTGTGTTGTGTTTTTTTTTTCGAAATCGTAAATTTGTTCACATTTATACAAAGTGCGAGCTACAACTTTTGCAATGTTGCGTCTGGTAAAAAACACGCGCAACTTCAATTGATTTGTACAACAAAAAGCGGTGGCAGCGTTTTCTGTGTGTGTGCGTGTGTGTGTGTGCTCGTGTGTGTGTCTGTGTGTGTGCTCTAAGAGTGGGAGTGCGGGCTTTTATCGGCTTATTTCTCTCTCTCTCGCTCTCTCTCGCTCTCTCCCTCTCTCTAACAGAGAACGCAACAACTTCCGCAAGCTCTTTGATAACTGCGTATTTATGATAAGTAAACAGTGCAAATATTTGATAAAGTATGAGGCATATTTAGTAATTGGACAACAATAACAAAAAAAAAAAGAAATTTTAAAGTGTGTAGAAAGAGCAGCTCGTTTTGAAGATGCTTTTACCAGTTGCTCACGTTTTATGCTCACGGTCCGACTATATTATTCATTTAAATTAATATATTTTCTTAGTTCCCAATATTTGAATACGTTTTTTAATCTTTAAAAAGTCGTTGAATGTGGATGATGGCTCTTTCTTGAAATGGGATATTTAAGTGTTACGATATCTGAATTTCGGTAAAATTGAAATTTAACTGAGCTCAAGTTAAGGAAATAATCTATAAATGCGTTTTATATCATTTTTAAATTTTTCTGTCGATCTCATTATTTGTTTCAAATTATCGATTACTAATCCAGTTTTCTTCAAATCGATATATATCGATTTCAGTCGTAGACGTTTGCTTGATAAAATTGCATTAGTTGAAGTAGGTGGCATATGAGCTTTAATATGCTAAAGAGAGCTTTTCGTTTATACTCGTGTATTGAAGAAGGTGGCATATGAGCTTTAATATGCTAAAGAGAGCTTTGCGTTTATACTCGTGTATTGAAGAAGGTGGCATATGAGCTTTAATATGCTAAAGAGAGCTTTTCGTTTATACTCGTGTATTCTTCTTTTTTTTAATAAAAGTGAAAAAATTCTATTGCGATAAGCCGTCATTCACAATGGAATCTGTGCTGAGATAGACCGTTCGACAATTTTTGAGTCATAATTGCTTTTTGTCTGGCTTGCAATTGTGTAATCTATGTCGGGAGAGTGTGAACTTTGCTCCCTACTACGTGGACATAGACATTGCTGTGTGATTAATGCCAGAGTCGGGCTATTTTAGTCGAGACCAGTCTGATAGCAATTACTTATAAGTATAAATATAACTTGTTGTTAGAAAACATTTACAATTTGTGCGGGCTAACTGAACGTTGAGTTAACCAAGTGAGAAAAGTGCAACATTAATTAAGGGTACGAATATTTGGTATACTTACGCGTAGGACAAAACATAAACAAAGAACAACAAGTGCAAGATATAGTTAAAGTTGTGCTGGGATTTGTTTCAAAGCTTTTTTTGTAGTTATTTGCGTAACTATTTGTGTGTCTTCTAAACGCTGTTTTTGTTTTGCTGTTTTTATTGTGGGCCCCTTAAGCTAAACATTTATTTACTTTAATGTGTAAAACATAAACATATATCTGCATCTGTAGGTATATTTAAAGACAAATTTTTGTACTACAAGTTAATGTTAAGTATTTAGCATTAGGCTAGCGTTTTGGTTAGAAGAAAGCGTGGAGGAGTTATATTTGGGGTTTAGTTTTTTTTTTTTTTGGCTATATACATAAAAATGAAACGTCAGGCGGTTTGTTAATATAGAACTTAAAGCTAAGCACATATAAATAAGTACAGTTGACTCTTGAGACATTTTACAACACTGGCTGTAGAAAGAGAATGTGAATGAGTTAAATTAACATATATAGTATATATAGTATAGTTAGCTACAAAACAACTTATATCGAAGCTAGCCTAAGCGCGGCCATACATATTACGAGCATGTGCCACTAAATTGAAGATCCCTTATTGTTGAACCCGTACACGCTGAATTTATACAACACTACCACTTAGTATGAAGTACAACCCTGCTTTTCTGCTGCTGCTTCAACTCCAACTACTTGGTTAGTACTAAAAGAGTGAAATAGCAATTTTGTGGATGTGTGGGTTAACGGTTGAACTAACCACCATTGGGCGTTGCAAGTGTGGCACGTCGCATGTTGGCATCGATGCGCACATGCAGGCTGGACAGCGTAGTATCCACGGGCAGCTCCATCTCCTGGGAACCCCGATAAGCGTCCGAAACGAGCGTTAGCTGCAATTAGAGATTTGAGAAGTGGTTTAGCCATATTGTAGCAGCAGTTGCTTTGGAATGTGTTGTTTCCTTTCTATAAACAAATTTGCCC